TTCATGCTGTATAACTTGTTCCTTTTTTCCTGTGTTGATTACGTTGGTTTTAATAAAAAAGATGCCGTTTGTGCAGAATGCCACAAAAAAGAGATCGAGAAGGCACTTGTCTGAAACGGACGAATATGTGTCGAACAACACGGAGAATGTAGTGATGGACCGGATGGCTCTTTTAACTGCTTATAGGAAGATGAAATCACTTTGTCTAAACATACAAAATGAGATCTTGACCGATATCGAAATCCACAAGCAGGATATTCTTCCTAGGTACTTGCACTCTGTATTAACTACTTGTGTTCAGAAAAAAAAAAAAAATATATTAATAATTATAAATGACTGCGTTTTGTGCATACATTGAATGATTAGATGCTGAACTCGTAGAATAAATGCCCTTCCATACATGTATATATTAATTTTAACTTACCTTCCTTTTTCTTAATAAATTATTGGTATTCATTTTGATCTTTGTGTGCAGTTTCTTAGACCTTCCAAACCTTTCATCATCGATATACAGCACGGAGCTGTGCAGTCGATTACGGGCATTCCTTGTTTCGTGTCCTCCAGCGGGACCCACGCCTCCTGTGGTTGAGCTTGTCCTGGCCACTGCTGATTTTCAGAGGGATCTTGCCTTTTGGAATATTAGGTACTTGATGAAAAATCAAATTGTGGTTTTTTAATGTGTTTTGAGAGGTGGTACTGTATTTCATGCATGTAATCCGCATTCTTGCAGTTCTATCAAAGGTGGGGTTGAAGCAAAAGAATTGTTCCACACATACATCACACGCTGGATTCAAGATAAACGTCTAGCTCTGCTCGAGTTTTGCAAGGTTGACAAGGTATAGTTATTTACTGTGTATATTTATAAACATAATGCATATATAAATACATGTTTTGATCAAATTATTTCAATATTTGTGGAACATTACATTTTTTTTTTCAACTTTTGGCTTTGCATATTTGGCATGAAGAAAATTATTATCCAGAAAAAGTTGTAGCGTTTAACTTTGATTTTATATTTAAAATTCTCATCTATCTCTTTCTTTTGATGAGTTATTTCAATAGTTTGTACAAATCTCTTTGTTTCAGTAGTTTTGGATATGTCCTAGTTTGCGATCATTTCGTTTCAGCTATAAAATCAACTCTAAAACCGTTCTTGAGTTCATGATTGAATATTCAAAATTCTTGTAACTTCCCTTCTCTCCCCAGCCCACCCTTTGAAGAAAAATTGAAAGTAAATATTCGATATATTGAATCATGTTATTGTTTCACTGTGATAGAAATAAATTATGCCCCTCTCGCTTGAGATGTCCATCTCCACCCCTGTATAGCGTAGTTTATTTCATTGTATCATACATTTCTGCTGAATTATTCAAGTGCATGATTTGATGATGAATCTTGAGGAGCTATTCTATCAATGCTTTTCTTTCATTTTTTGTTTAATTGTGGGTGGTTAATAAATTACCCTTTTTCAAATTACAAAAAGATCCGGTTATCTGTCTCATACTTTGATATATCAATTGATATATCTTTGATTTATACATTTGTGTTAATGTGATCCGAAGAGGGTCTTTGTTAACGGATTGACCTAATTATCTTAATTAGGTTAATATAGTTTTTTAGTCATTTTGAATAGTCCATACATCATTGGCTGAATAAATCTCTTGCCTGTTTTTGGTACATATGTGTTTATTTTCTCTTTGTTTCTTTAACTTCTAACCTACTCTCTTTTACAAACCGATGCACTTGTTTTCCCGTAAAAGTAGACCGTATAGCATATGCTATGCAAGCATCATTAAGGCCATGCCAATATTTGCATGGAAAAACTAATCTATAATATTAGTGGTAGTGATACTAAAAACAATGAAAATAAATATGATAATGGCAAAATGTTTATTGCCCTACTATCCATTGTCTATGTGAGCTAGAAATGCTTTTGACCACATACACTAAATTTCCAGATAATAATTGAACTGACAGTAAAAGCTGTTTTACAGATGCATTGTTTTTCACACGAAAGCCATGTACTTGGGAGTAGACTTCAATAATTTCCACCCTTTTTTCCTTCTTCTATCTTCATCATATAGCCAAAATATGTATGATATTCCCACTTTACCTTGTTCTGACATGAGTATGTTTATGCAACAGACAAAGCCTTCGAGCTTACCTTCACAACATTCGACAGCTTCCTTCGTTAATGATATCTATGGCCAGATAAAGGATACACTTGCTGAGTATGATATCATCATAAGTCGGTGGCCAGAATATACTTTCACATTGGAAAATGTATGCAATATTCTAATCTTTTCTCAACATTTTCATTTATATGTAAGAGATGTTAATATTGCCCCCCTTACATTAAAAACAAAGTCAAATTTTAATGGGAATTTTGTAAATAAACCAAGCTTCAGGTTTCATTGCGTAATATCCCCCTAAAATTTTGTAATATATGTAAGTAACAAAAACCACTTTAAATTTATTCATTGCATGTATTCTTGTTTTCTGTTGAAAGGCCATAGCAGATGTTGAGAAAGCTGTAATCGAAAGCTTAGAGAGGCAAAATGTTGAAGTTTTATCTCCACTGAAAGACACTACCCCAATCAAATTGGGACTCAAATATGTACAGAAATTCACAAAGGGGCATAATGTTCCTTACAATGTGTCCCCTGAGGTACAATGAGTTTTGTCATTGAATGTTCAGTATTATTCCCGAATTTTTATCCAAGGTTATTAATTTTTTTATATTCTTTTTTCAGTTGGGAGTACATTTAAATTCCATGAAAAAAATGCTCGATACCTTAAGGCCCCAGATAGAAGCACAGTTGAAGTTGTGGGGTTCGTGCATACCTGAAAGTGAGAATATGCTTCCTGGAGAGTGTTTAAGTGAAGTAACTGTGATGATTAGATCGAAATTCAGAGCTTATGTGCAAGCGGTTGTTGATAAACTTGTTGAAAATGTGAGTAATTAAAATTATTAGCACAAGATTTTAGTTGCATTTGCTTTCGGATTATTTTTGCTGATTTATATTTGATTGATTGATTCCATAAATTCCTCTAATTGCCAGAAATCCACCGTCTTTCAGAATTATAAGTAGCCCCTTGATGTTTGTTTTTATTTGTAAAAAATGTGACTTTAAAATCCAAAATTTAAGTTATGATATAATTATCTTGGAAATAGAGAAACTAATGAGGTTGCATATTTTTCTCGTTCAGACAAAGTTGCATAATGGTACGAAGCTGAAAAAGATAATACAAGATGCCAAGGAAAATGAAACAGAGTCTGATTTTCGGGGGAGAATGCAGCCATTGAAGGAGTTACTGTCAAATACTATTGATCAATTGCATGCCATTTTTGATACTCAGGTGTTTGTGGTTGTTTCCAGAGTTTTCTGGGATCGGATGGGCCAGGTGAAGAACTTTCCAGAACAGATTCTTAATTAAAAAAGAAAAAAAGAAAGATATTTTCATCATTTGATATTGTCCTAATCTGGGTTCATACTCAAATGCAGGATGTGCTGAAGTTTTTGGAAGACCGGAAAGAAAATAGAGCTTGGTACAAAGCTTCCAGATTCGCTGTTAATGTAAGTCGAACAAAAATTTTTTAGTCAAATATCGAAAGAAATCCCTTGAGGATCAAGCTAACTCCTAGAAGAATAGAACAAGGAACATGATAATTTTTCATTTTTTTTTTTTTTTGAAGTCTT